GAACATGTTTGTTGTAACGGGGATTCGATCCCGCGACCCTCAGATTGCGAGTAGAGTGCCTTAATCACCTGGCCATGCCGGGCCAGTGTGTATAGCAGTAAGATGTCCGTGAGCACTTTGCACACTTTATTTTTAAATCTATATTCAAACTTGAACTGTGTCTCAGATTTGAAGCAGGAGAATTAATATCCTAAGCTCAAACATCCACAATACATCATGACAATTATGTGGAACGATACACACATCTTGTGTCTTACATTATATGATAACAAGTTACAAAATGGTCCCTTTTTTATATCAAAAATGAGTATTAAAAACACTCCAAATAAGTTATTTAAGAAACAGGTAAATTACATGGTTAAGCCCATTAACGTTGAACTGAAATGTTAAAATAGAGAAAAAATACCCTTTAATCTGGATGATAAAAATAAAAATCATTAATAAAGAAATAAACAAAGCTGGCCTTTACAGAAAGAAAAATACATCTGTTTTAAATATGCTAGTGAAATTCTGTAGAGACTAGCTCAATCAGTCTCGGGACATCACAGTGTTTCATTACCATGACGACTGGTTCTAACAACCATCCTTATTCATAAGCTCTAGGTAACCATGGAAGGTCAAACAGATTCTGCTGCTCGGAAAGACCCTGACTGCTGTTTTAGACTAGAGTTTTTAATGGACTAGTTTCAGTAACGTCGCCATGGAGAGTTTAGATGTGACCCCTTTTAGATCATAAATAAAAATTAAGTTTACGAGACGCCATATCTACTTAAAGTTAACAGTAAAAGCAATATCCCTAGCAGAGCCGTAACGTATTTAAACATACTCAGTGGACAGTGGTCACGCTTTTCGCAACAATGTGAATGGACAAATAGCGTAACGTTTTACATCGCAGTGACCAGAGAAACACCATTCTATAAAATCACATTCTGGTCCTGACAAGTCCTTCATATTTCCGATTACGTTGAGGCAACTAAATACGCTTCAGAAAGTTTGTTTATTCATATATACATTCTCTTAGTTCGATACGTGCACATTCTCTTAGTTCGATACGTGCACATTCTCTTAGTTCGATACGTGCTTAAAACCGACAGATGAAAAGGACAGTGTTTCTACTTTATATAATAAGGTTTAAAAATAGTTACTAAAAAGGGATTTACACACACACATAAACTTCAATTAGTTAATGAGTAGACAGTGTCCAGTTTATTTTCAAAAATGCATGCATATTTATTTGAACAGAACTCTACAGACACCTACCATGAAAACACTGTTTTTTTTATTAATGTTTGCACTTTTAATCATGTTATCCATCTCATTCAAAAAGGCACAACTTGACGCGAAGAAATTTGATATTTGTACAATTGTGTCTGATGATGATGAGAACAAAGAAAAAGAGACTAGAAGAATAAGAACATTTATACCAAACCTACAAACTTAATAAATACAGTTATCCCCGAAGTGACACAGCAGCATGTCTGGGGACTTGTACGGTTTTCGGGTGGTGGGCAGAGCACAGATAGCACAAACAAAAATACAGGTATTATTAAAGCCCAGAAAATTCTTCGATCAAAATTACAGAAACCCAAAGAATAACATTGAAAGTGGACAAAGAAAGATCTTTCTTATTACCACACAAAATCCAAGTAATTTCAACACGTTCAACGTAATAAGCACAAGTTTGGAATATGACAATAAAGACAAAATTTCAAGAATGTTATAAATAAGAATATTTTAATACATAGTCTAAGATAGAAAAATAACTTAAAAATGTTTAATAAGCGAAAGTTTACAAGGAGGAAGGTGTGACGGTGAGCATTTGCAATGACAAACGACACAGCACAAATAAGTACATATAATCTGGAAAAGAAACCACCTTTAAATTAGGAAAACCTTCGAAGTTAATGCCAGCATGAACTGAAAATCTGGTATATTGTACAATATCTTCAGCTGTCACCATTCTTTCATTCTCACACACGCACCTTCTTTTCTGTTGTTATAATTCATCAATAACAAATTCAGGATCTATCAAAACGTCCTATTACCCTGAATGATAATTCGGATACTTGTTACAATGAGCAATTTATAATCATTCCATTTTGCAAGATGTTTTCAAACACTGAAATAGAACGGAAAGCAAAATATTTCGTAAAATTATTCCAGCCATCTATTAATTTTTAAATGGAATAAGTTCGCATATGTTTTGTCACTTTTAATTATTATTTTTTTATCTTATGGGCATCATAATTAGAAGTATTATTAATAATTAAATTGGTTTGGTTGTTGTTAAGCGAAAAACTAGACAATGGACTATCTGTACTCTGCCAACCACGGGTATCGAAACCGGAATGACGATTTGCCGCTTACAAATAAAGTTCCTGAATACTAACCGAATGCAAATCACCCTGTTGTAAACAGGAAATAAATAATCTTTATATTTCTAACTGTAGACTTAGGCTATCAACTAACAAACGTATATTAAAATTCGATGACGAGGAACACACTTTGAGACTAATATAGGTTGGAGACGGCTTGAATGGGTAATGAAGAAAAACTTTAATATAAGTTTAACACAACAGCAAATGTACAACGTTTCGACAAGGTTTTGTCATCATCAGGTGACAAGCCTTCTCAAACCATTATTAAACGTATATTAATATAAATAAATTTAATGACTTAAGAGAAACAATGAAAAATTAAGATGGCTTGTTAAATTATAACTGTTTACAATAGGGGTGAAATTGTGTATAGCCAGGAACAAAATTTCACGGATCGCCAAGTTTAACTATATTAATTCTTAGCGCGCGCACACTCACAGAAACATATATTTTTTGGTGTTATTACTGTACATCATACTAATGAAATATGATAATAATTTAAAAATTATGGTTTAAACACAAAAAGATGACAAAGCATTAGAAAGCAATTCATCTAAAATTTACGATGAAAATCAAGAAAACCACAAACGATTTTTCCCCACGCTCCTCATAATTTGTCCCTTCCGTGTTCAGAAGCAGAGCCATGTAAAAATAACACTTCATATTTGTCTCTCATAAGTCATTAACCAAACGGCTTTTATTTAGTACTAGAACTCGTCAGTTATGCTGGATGATGAGAGAAAAAAACATTACCTGAAACGCAACTGAAAAAATGCAGTATAATGTTTTAAAAGTTCTGGTTTTCGACGCTGAAAGTTGGCGAAGCATTAAAAACCAAATGGCCTAAAACTTATGATGAAAATCACGTAAACTGCAGATGTTTGTTTTATCACAGTTTTCTTAATGTTTTTATTCAAATTAACAGGAAATATGAAAAAAACAACAAAAAACATCAGCAGTTTAGATGATGATAATGATTGCTTGTTTAACTTAATAGCTACATCATTTCTAGTATAATCCAGTTTTACTACATCAATTTTTAGTCTGGTATTTTTACGACAGTTTTAAATATATACATGTTTCGAAAATGTAAAAAGAAAAAGGAAGAAGAAGTGTTATTATCACAGCAATATTTGTAATATAATTTAACTCTGAGTTATACATACCAAACAAGAGCAAAAAACAGCTTTTTTAATAAGCACACTGAGCCTTTTCATCAATTATCAAAATTCATTTTGTTATCGTAGAATATTTTCGTTCAGAATTGAAAAATACAAGCAAGTTTACTTATACATTTCGGTAATATGTAGTAACACAAAACTTATTTGCTAATTTTAATTTAAACTTTCAAGTATTTATGTTTTTGAAATATAGTCTTATAAAGATGCTCAATACAAATTTTTTTAAAGATGCAGAATGGTGAGAAGTTCCACTAGATGAGACCTTGGAGTAACGCATAATCTCGTTTTAATAATTAGATCGCGTTACTTTGATCTCCATTTTGTAAAAGATAGAATGGGTGGATTAAGGTTTTTCTGCTTGTAGTTCTTTTCTGTTTTCAGCTTGGAAAAATAAGAGAAGTTATTGATACAGAAAATACATTTTCTTTTCCAGCTGTGCAATGCTGGATATTAAATAGAAATGAAGATTGGTATTCGTCTTCGCTCACATTGGTAAGTTCAGTAAAATGGCATTGACATTGCAGTGATACTGACAGTAAACATCGAAGTTTTAGCCTATGTTAGGCCTATTGCGTTTTTATGTTTAGTTCAGTAGTTGTACTGTAGTAAGTAACATTAGTAAGTCTTCAGTAGGCAATGCCAATAGTGCCAGGGCAGTAATAAACTGAGTTATTATTTAGTTAGCTACTATATAAGTATTAATTTACTGTCTGTAGCCCTACGACAATCTATAATTGCATTAATTAAAAGTTAAAACCGTTAATTAGTAAGAAATTTTCCAACATTTTTATTGTAATTTGTAGTACTTGTACAGCCAACATGGTTGCACACGAGGAAAAACCTTGCCTGTCTCACAAGTGTTAAATCTTCCTCGAGTATGTCGTTACTTATTTTAATAAGGGTTAATATGTATATTTGATATACCTAGATTTTTGGAAAACTTTTGACAAAGTACCTTATTAAAAATTATTAAAATACTTTTGTTCATAGATGTGAGGAATAAGTTAGCTCAATGGATTAAGGAATAGTTAGAGAGGCAGCAGAAGATTGTAATAAATGGAGTTCATTAAAATGGATTGGGGCTGCAAGTAGTGTACCTTAGGGATCTGTGCTGGGACCTTTAGAATAGCAATATTGATGAGGGAATGGTCAACAAATTGTTCAAATTTGCTGATATAAAAGTTTTGTGTGTAGTTAGCAGTGAGGAGAATGCTGTTATTTTACAAAGGAATTTGACAAATTGGGCAAGTATATGGCAGATGGTAATTAATTAAGCTAAATGTCAAGTAATGCATATGTGTTAACTTAGTTTAAGTTATAATATAACTTTGTTAGGAATCAATGCAATAGTGTTATTTAAGAAAAGAATCTTGATGTTTTGACTAATCGGGCTCATAAGCCTGCCAGGTAGTGCTTGTTGCCATTGGCAAAGCATGTAGAGGAATGTTGAATATTAGTCATCAGGGATCTGTACAAAGAAATAACATCCTTTGACTAATATTCAACATTAGTTCAGTCTTGGACTTTTTACTTTAAGAAGGACATTTAGTTGTTGGAAATAGTTCAGGAAAGGTCTAGAATGTTTTTTGTGATTGAGGATCTGCCATATTAGGGGAGGTTAAGGCCCATTATATCTTGATAAAATTGGGTTAGAGGGGATCTGATTGAAGTTTTCAAAATTATAAAGAGAATACATGTGATAGATGCATGTTTTTTTCATGTTCAGTGGTAAGAGTGTCAGACCAGGGGACAAATAATTATGATTTTGCAGCTCGAAGTTGTGTCCAAATTTTGTTTTTCAAACAAAGTAGTCGGCCTTTAGAATAGGTTGCCTTAAAAATTAGAAGACACAACAGGGAAAAGGGAAAAACTAAAAAAAATGAAATTTTACAATATGGGGGTGAAATCAATTTTGTGATGATGTGTTCTTACAACATTTGAAGTTATTCTTATAACTACTGATGGTTAAAATGTATTAGTTTATAATTTACAACCACTACTATAGTACAGTGTTAAAATACCATCTTTATCTATTATTATAAACTACTAACTCAGTATAATCATATTACAAACATTGTAAATTAATAATATTATAACCTATATTTAAAAAGAAAACAATGGGGACATGTGCAGATGGTCTTAAGTTTTAAATATTGATCATTGGCACCCAACTGAAAAATGTTGTCGACCTGTGTGCTATAGTATTATTATAAGACACGTTTTGTAGACTAAACTGTTGAACACCTTCGGATGTGCTGGTAGTTGTACTCCTTACGAGAGAGAGTTTGATCCATGATACAGCTTGCATGCTGTTAGCTTATGCTTATAAAATATAACATTTCTGTTATAAATATTACCCACATTTGATGTGAATATTGGAGTAATTAAGCCATAATTTTGTAGCATTTGGTAAATCATTATCTATGAAATAACTTCCTTGTTCAAATGAAATTAGTTATCAGTGAAGGGAAAATGTTAACATTGAATATTACATGACAAAGTTGATAAGTGACCCTGGGACTAGGACTCAAACCTTGGACCTTTGGATAACAAGGCCACTGAACATTGATGTAGTGGGGTAGGGGGGGTTGGCTTGTAGTCTCGGAAAACTCAGTTGATAGAACGCTGGCCTTGTTAGTCAGTAGTTCCTGTTTTGAATCCCAGTCCCAAAGCCTTTTTTACCCTCTTATTGCCTTTTTCGTGTAATGTTAAACATTGAAACTTGTAATGGAATTTCAACATAAATGTAAGTCTGATAGACTTTGTGTAACTTCATTGGGTGGTGGTAAATCAAATCACTAGGTGCTAGATCATAATGTAATATGTTAATCTTATTAAGAAGCTTTATAGGTGAACATTAATGATGATTTCTTCTTTAAATGGTGAACATTGGTGATGTTGCATAAGACACTTATAACCTATAACGTTATCTGGGTACAAAGTTTAGAATTGTCAGATAAGAAAAAAAGTCGTATCATTACATAACATTTGAGGGAGCATATTTGATCCATTGTGGCTGTCCTATTCATTAAATTAAACACCAATCTGTCTGTATCTTATAACGTCTCCCCAAGTACTCATCGGGCTCTCTTGAACTCTCCTAATCTTGTTTTGTTTACTGCATTTAAAGGCAGTCATTTAAATGTTGATTTTAACCAATCAAAAACAGTATTGTATGTACATTCTAACCTGATTGGTTAAATGTTTCACAGTTAACCTGTCATTATGATAGGTTTTCAGAAGGCAAGTGTATTTTTTTGAAATTTGTATAAATTTGAAAGATTTTGCTAGAAGGCCTTTTGCTCAGTTTGTCAGAAGAAAAAAAATTGTTTCATAAATAGTGTTTTTACCTGAGCAGCATATAAAAAATTGTGCTTTAAACACACTCAGTTGTTGCAGTGTATGTAACGTTATGTTTATACATATAAAGCTGTCCATATAATATACATTATTTCAGTATATGTAGTCTTTGTGTGTTTAGGGTGCACGTAATCACTGTTTTTTAGCACTACAGACAACCTTACCAAAATAATATTTATCAGTGAGATTAGTTTCACGTTCTGAGGAAGAAAGTACAAATAATGCTTTGCATATAATTCACAAAATATTTAAACTGCTTTTATCACCTGTATCACCAGTGAGAGATATTCTGAGTATGTCTTCTTGGGTTTTATACAGATTGTTTAGGGATTATCTTTATCATAAAGCAGTATTTGCTTAAAGTATGTTTCCTGATGATATCATATTGATTGAGAAGAATGCAACTTAGCAAAATACTTCTAATTCAGATTACACAATAAACAAGGTGATAAAGAGTAGTTTATTTTACCTAGGCTACCATTTCATGTCATGGAATTTGTTTGGATAAAATTAAAGCTAATCTCACAAACAACATTAATAAGTATACCATTTTAAAAGTTTATTAAACCAATGGTTCTGTCTAAGAATTGATCTAGATATGGACTTACAACACTAATGGGCATGAGCTGATCCTGTGATAGAGCTCTGGATTTCACAGCTGGTGAACAGGGTTCGAATCTATGTAATACCACAGACTATTTCACACACTAGGTTATTATAAAGGTGACAGTCTGTTAGAATGGATGGTGGAGTTTTGGTGACTAGACGCATTCCCTCTGTTCAGTAGATCGAAATTAGGGATGATGGTAGATAGCCTTAGTTACTTTGCCATAAATACAAAAATCAACACTTCATAGTTATTACCCCTGATTGTTATGTTCCCCTTTCCAGTTTTATCTCCCATCCAAAGAGGCATCTCAATATTCAGAATTAAGGGGAGTGTCTTTAGTCTCGTTCTCTATATGGGCACTCGATAAAGTGGGCAGTTATCTTTGTATGCCTGTACAGTATACCACTAAATTCCAAACATCCCAGAAGGATGACCAATATTTAAACACTTGCAATGTTTATTGGATTCGCTACAAACCATATACTGTAATAAGTGTTTCACAGATTCAAGATGCAATCTTATTACTCTAGGGAATTCTCGTGGTAAACACTGTAGGATACATAAGCTGATAAATGCCATGTCGTTTTCTCAGAGCAGGGGGTCAAGTCAGCTTATTTCTCTGTGTGTGTGTGTGCTTTGTTGCTCTCAAGAGTATTATAGTACGGTGTCATGTAAACAGTTTAATGACACAAGTGGTGATTTGTTGCTCTAATTTCAGTGATTTTTACTTCAGTAATTGATAGCAAAATAAACACAGAAAATAAATGTGAAATGTTTAGCAGTTCAAACTCTGAAGAGAAGTACTTTGAAACTTTGTGACCAATAATGAAGAAAAAAGGGCACAGCTAATCCACCACAATGCTCTATGTCATGGCAACATGCAACTCATGAACACACATGTTTTGTACACACAAAACAAAATGTGGGGGGGGGGGGGGCTTAAAATTTAATATGGTCAATATGGAATCCAGCTTTGTGTGGCTCATTTCTGATATTAAGGGTATCTTGTTATAGAGGGCATTTGGATGCAGCTGGAATGTCGAGGTTCTATTGTAGGGCTAAAAAAAGTTTTCTGTACATGCTATTCAACAGTGAAACTTACTGATTATTGTTGTTGTTTAATTATACTGCGAGCCAGTGCTGTAGGAGTGATATTTCTTTATTGCATGAAAATAAGTACAATTATAAACAAACTTGAATTTTTAAAAAAACATTAATTCAGTTTTCCTAAAGGGTGTGTCACTAATGAAATTGGGGCACAAAAAATCCACTTTTCTGTAGCTGCTTTAAAAGAAAATTAACAGTGATATACATTATATAATTTTGATGTGATCAAGTGGCAATATGATCGAAAGCTATTTTGTTTAACGTTGTGTGCTTTTTGGATACTTGTGTGTGTGTATTTTTGCTCTTGCTTGGCTGCGACTGCCATAATTAGTGGTATTCTGCTTTTATTAGTAATTCCTGTTGTTCCCTGTAGGGATAAAAGTTTGTAAGTATTTGAATATTTCTGCTAAAAATGCATATGCTTAAGAAATTTAATATTTGAAGTGGGAGTTTTAGTTTTATTTAAATTATACTGTTTTATTAAAAAATAAAAGTTTTTCTTTGTTGTGCTGTGAAAACATTAACTTTTATGAAAATATAAGTTTCTAAATGTTTTTACAGATGTATTAAATTACAGATTTAATTTAATTGTGGAATTAAATTTAAGATGAATTAAAATGAGGTTTAACATTTTTGTGTTTTAATCATATATTATTGCTGCTAAACTTGCATAATGTACTTTTTTTTTCCTTATTTAATAATGTTTTGTGGTTAATCTTGTATAAAAACTTAACAAAGAAGAATAAAATGTGAAGACTGTTAAAAGAACCTGACTTGGTGTTTTGAGGGTATTTTTTTGAAGTTGAGGATTGCTTTTATGCTTCTGTTAAAAAGGATATTGGAGAAGATACTTAAGATTGGTTTCTAGAACCGAGAGGGGGGATATGGATAATGTACAAAAGTAGGTACCAGTGGTGATGATCTTCGTCTTTGTAGGCAGATTGAATGTTATTTTATTGAGTCGATATTTTCTGTGTCACCATTTTTAGTACAGCACACATTTACACGTTGTGAGATATGTCAAGATTTGGAATGCTCATATTTGTTTTCATTGCAGTTAGAATAATTTAATTGGACCTCTATAAATATGAAGTCTTCAGAAATTCTCAAGTAGAGGGCATTTTATAAGTAGTGTGACAGATTGAGGTAATTGTCATATTTTGCATCATTCTATTGATAAAACTTTGACTGACTGATAATCTTATACACATGTACATATAGATGTAGGATGTTGTGTATGTGGAAACAGGAAATGAATATTTTGCCACTTGTACTGTGACGTGTTGTAACTATAAGCATATTACACATACGTGTTTTTTTAGAGGCAGTGAGGAAATGGCCAGTGATTAAAAGGAAATGTTTGAGATATATAAGCAGTTACAATAACGTAACAGTAATTCACAAGTAAAATATTTTTTTTACTTTAGCCAACAGTGAGACTAACATGTTATTATTATTTTCTGTATTATAAACTTGTAACTTACTATTAAAGCAGATTAATTTTGACTTCAAGAGGTATAGCTTCTGTGGTTGTACTGATTATGTTTAAATTTTTTTCCTGAAAATTTTCATTGTGTTTTTATGTTTTTCTATTTTTACAAGAAATATATTACAGCCATATAAAGGTGGATTCTAAGCTAATATATCTTATTATATCTTTAATACACAAACAATAAAGAGGTACCTGCTAAACTCTATAAGTAGTTGTTTCAAAGGTAACTCTATGATGCTACTAAAGTCCAGTCAGTGTTGGACTTTACCCAGTTTTATGATCTGACAGTAGGGTGTTTTGGTACTGGTAAGTTGTTTCATATAGAGTTATTCTAGGCCAATGTAAAGATTTACGAAAACTTTCACATAATTTATTATTTTTACAACCAATGAAGTGCTATCTTACATTTACTGTTGCTAAATAGTTAGGTAGGAACTGGTAGATTTTATGTTCTAATCACTTATGAATGTATTATAGAATATAGGGTGTTAAGATTATTGGATATTTTGTGTAATTTTTTTATTACAGTTTTTACAGTAAGTAAGATCTTTTTTTAGAACAGGTATGATGGTACAATCATTCTCAAGTACACAAGTTTTTGAAAATGGTTGCACCGCTGATTGAAACCTTGTATCTGTTTAAAAAATAATGTTACTTTGTAAAAGCTGTAATGTGTAATGAAATAATACTTAATCGGTAAGTAAACTCAAAACAAAACTATTTTGTCATTGTATTCGTAAAATAAACCCTAAGTCCCTATTTCAGAAAGCTGTGTATGTTGCTGACTTAAATATATTTGAGCTCAGTATCCTCCAGTTTTCTTGGTAATGAAATATTCTTGTTAAAATGTGTTGAAATTTAAACAAAATATATAGTTGTTATTCATTATATGCATAGCAAAGGCATTTAATGGAAATTTTAAGGTATCTCAAAATCTCTGTATTTGTTAGAATGTTTTACAGCCTTCTGCGTGATTGAATAAATTGAGGTTATAGGCCAGCTTCTGATAATTCAGTTGTCACATTTCCAGTGTATTGAAAGCAGTATCAATTTAGGCCTAAATTTGCTGAGTAATATCTTAATCCGGAATGTTTATTAAGCATATCTTAAAAAGAAAGGTTTAAGGATTGAGACAAATGGAAGTATTAAATACAGTGCATAATATTTTGATATTTCAAGTTCATTTTCATGTATGTTTCTCTTCATTAGGTTGTGCTGATTACAATTTTATTTAACATCTTTCAATATCGTACTAAAAAATTAATTTATTGGTAAATTGAGAAAACTGAGTTTCACTTATACAGAGTCAGATCTAATTGGCCAAATTGTGGTTCCATATGTGTTTTAATAGTAGAAAAGTTTATATTTTCACTATGAGCTGCTAATTAGATCTAACTCTGTGTAAGTGAAACTCCGTTTTCTCAGTGTATACAATTTGGTCAATTAGATCTGACTCTGTGTAAGTGAAACTCAGTTTTCTCAGTGTAAACAGTTTGGTCAATTAGATATGACTCTGTGTAAGTGAAACTCAGTTTTCTCAGTGTAAACAGTTTGGCCAATTAGATCTAACTCTGTGTAAGTGAAACTCAGTTTTCTCAGTGTATACAATTTGGCCAATTAGATCTGACTCTGTGTAAGTGAAACTCCGTTTTCCCAGTGTAAACAGTTTGGCCAATTAGTTCTGACTCTGTGTAAGTGAAACTCCGTTTTCCCAGTGTAAACAGTTTGGCCAATTAGATCTGACTCTGTGTAAGTGAAACTCTGTTTTCTCAGTGTAAACAGTTTGGCCAATTAGATCTGACTCTGTGTAAGTGAAACTCTGTTTTCTCAGTGTAAACAGTTTGGCCAATTAGATCTGACTCTGTGTAAATGAAACTCAGTTTTCTCAGTGTATACAATTTGGCCAATTAGCTCTGACTTTGTGTAAATGAAACTCAGTTTTCTCAGTGTAATTGCACAAAATAATATAAAACTTAGTTCATTTTATCCTATTTTTAAAGTTGGTTCCATTATAATCAGTGAATCCACTGCCAGCCGTACCCCTTTTCTTATAAACCACTCTGTGCTTTATTTCTTGTTTTAATAGGTCTTTATATGTTGTCAGGGCAGTTCCTGTTTTACAACAAAATACACTGTCAGTTGTTCTTCTCTGTTTCTTGACATAAATACAGCTACCACTACTGCAACATTCTAGAACATAAAGGTTTTCTTGCTGCTTACTCTAGAGAATTTCCTTCCTCTCACAATTAAAGTTTGTGTGTTATAAACTGGTTGAATGTCTATAATTTGTTTTGAAATGCTTGTAATTTTATTTTGATATTTTTTGCAAAATTTAAAGTTTTTTAGCATTACCTCTATCATCAACTGAAAACTAACCGTTTATGAACTTCCAAACTTTTTTCTTTCACCTTTCTATAGCTTTTTTTTTTGGTAGCAACTCATGGGGCCATTTTAAAGATGTAACGGGACCACTAACAGCAGTAGTGGTAGTTGATTTCAGTTTTAAGTCAATAATGCTTTTCTTTTCAATGAAGTTTTTTTTTAAAGCTGCAAGTGGTTGTTATGCCTTTTCTGTAACTCGAATTTGGAGAAAATTGTACATTGCTTCTTGGGTTCTGTAGGTCTAACATTCTGTAACATTTGCTGTCAGCATGAATTTTGTTTTGTCCTGATTTCTCGTTGCACAATGGACATACCCCGGCTTGATGTCATTCTTCACTCTACCCATCTCATTTAGGGTTAATGAAACAAATACACGTGACACAGGAATACTCAATGTCAATTTTTGACTTACAGAATAAACTGTTTCAGCCATTTCAGAATATTTGTAAATCTTGGACATACCCCAGCTTGATGTCATTCTTCACTCTACCCATCTCATTTAGGGTTAATGAAACCAAATACACGTGACACAGGAATACACAATGTCAATTTTTGACTTACAGAATAAACTGTTTCAGCCATTTCAGAATAATTGTAAATCTTGTGGAAATGTTTTAAAAGGTATTAGGATAATATCTGAACTGGTATATTTGATATCAGGTCATAAACAATGAATGATAAAACTGGTATTACACATATCCTTCTTGAGATAATTCATCGTGGACCGTCTATATAGTAATTTATTGGTTTAATTCTCTCATCTTATGCCTCCCTTCCTCAGTGGCTCAGCAGTAAGTCTGAGAGCTCGTGACACTGAAAATTATGATTTGATACCCATGGAGGGCACAGCATAGATAGCCCACTGTGTTGCTTTGTATTTAACAACAAACAAATAAATTCACCATATTTTTTATGTACGTTTATAATTATTCATTTTCTGAAATTGCACCATTTGATTTTTTTTTCTTTACTCTTACATTTTAATCTGTATATTTTTACTGAAAACCAGACTTGAAATATATATGGATCAGTTAAAGCTGACAAAACAATTTTACATATAAAATGAAGCAAGCAAAGAATGTATTTTAAGAGATAAAAATGTTTACACTTAAATAATTTCCTAAGCAAATTTTTTTGAGAAAACATCTGACAGTTAAAATCAATACTCACACAAAACGTTTTTACAATTAAAAAATATACAGCTTGGAAAATCTGATAAAATGAATGTTCACAATTAATATTTATTATAATGTTCAGAAGGGCAAGAAAGATGCCACTACTGCAGCGTCTTATAGAACCTGTCCACGTTAGTCGTGGAACCCTTAACTTCGAAGAGAAGGGTTTGCCTGCCGTAGCTATACGTGTACAGAATGAATTGGAGTGGGTTACGAACGGCTCCTTGTCCAACATTATACGGGAGTTGTCTTCTCTGTCCAAGCATGCCGATGACATGTTTGGAACTCTTTTTAGAGAAGCAACTTTCTTAGTAGAACGGTCCATTGACTTACAAGCACGAATTGACAAACTAGCCGTGAAAGTGACTCAGCTAGACTCTACTGTTGAGGAAGGTAAGTTGGTAAAGCTTATCAACTAAGTTTCGAATTTTCACCATCCGTAAAAAAGTCAGGTTTAACTCTTTGTATGATATGTATAGAAGGAGATACTTATTATTGATAATTATATATATATTTAGTGTCTACATAAGATACCCATTAAACAATTATAAAGTATATCTATTAAAGATTTCAGTTGACAAAGTATATAGAAGATGTCAGTGAAAAAAAATACACTATAAAAATGATGTAGTATGTAATAGAAATGTCGTATTAAAAAAGTTTATAGAATAAAGATATCCTTAAAAATGATGCTTATGTCTGCTGGTAAAAATGGTTTCATATTTTGACTGCAAAAAATGTTTATTTTTTTTTAGGAGTAGTGTTTCATTTTTCATCTGATTATTATTGGTAGTAATTTTTTTGCATTGTGTACAATTAACAATTTATATAGAGTTCTGAAAGTTTTCCTTTAGCTGCGTCATAGTGGCTCATAGAACGGCTCTGAGTTGTTTTTGTTTTTCAAGGTCAAACTTTTAGCTCATAGCTCCATCATCTTTTGACCGATTTGAGATCTTGTTACAGTTTTGGACTCGGGAGGTCAAACCTTTTCGATTGATGTATTTGACCATGCCCAAGTTCTCATAGATTAGTTTACTCTAATCCTTCCTAAAATAATTTTAATTTGAGGGTAGGCTGATAGAGATCCTGATGAGTAATAAAATTCAATTGGGTAAACGTGCTCCCCAAGGTTGGTATTGCTGGCACACAAAAATATACCTATTAACTAGGGAACAAAAGGTCACAAGTTAATTTCTGGTGGTTGAGAAACACCAATCTAAACCAACAACGTCTAGCTTGAAATTCTGTAACTGAAAAGTTGCTAAACCTTTCTTCTTGAAATTAAACAAGAGGTCATCTTCAATAGTCACTCGCCATTTGAAATTCTTTCAGGAAAGATTACAGTCCTGTGAACTGATGATGGTCTGTCATAACCACCTTGCCTGTCAATGGGATTTCACGAAGACAAATAAAAACAAAAACATACAGAATATTCATGTGTAAATCATAAATGCTTTTGGCTGTGCTTGTGTCTTAGCGTTTAGTGTCTTAGTGTTTAAGGAGGCAACGAACCAGTTCCTGGTATCAAAAATGTTGAGAAACATCGGTTTAGACAATTGTATTTTTGAGTGTTTGCCTTGGGGCTAACTTACAATAAATAAGCTTGAATTTAATAAATTTATTATTGAATTACTCCCAAAGTTTAAGTGTTTTTTTTTTTCTTCAGCAATTAAGTAATGACTTAAAACTTACAGTAGAAAGAGAATTCAAACTAATTTAATGTCAAGTTTATGTTGTTTCGTACGGAAAAGTTTTTCTTTATCGTATTAAAAGGTAAGATTTCTTTCCAGTGTCTCTCCAAAACATTCATTTGAGAAAAGCTTTTAAAAGTAGTGTAACGTATGATCAAGAGGTTGTGGCACGTGATACCATCCCTCTCGCCATGAAAGAAACTTATGACAAGTGTGCCACACCGCCACCTTTGAGTAAACTAAACCCGTATAGGTGAGTCAGTCTTTATTCCTAGGACTTTTATTAGTAGAAAATAACATTCAAAAGATTATGTAACAGAAATGTTCTTGTGAACCAACACAACAGTTATAACTTTTCATGATATACACTTCTTCCATCCACATTCTTTAATAATTTAAATTTCTAATTGATATACCAATGAAGATATCTTTGATAAAGAAAGTTATTAAGTAAATCTATCTGCAGTTATGAAGTCTGGTTATAACTTCTTGGCCAGGATTTTCTGAAGGGAAAAAACCCAGAACTTTAGGCAATGGATGATGTTTTAAGGGTTAAAAACAAAGTAGGCTAGACTCAGCATTTTACACATAACATTTTTTTTTATCACAGCTATTTGTGAAAGTTGTTGTATGCTACAATTGATATTAAAGTTATTTAAATAATGTGGATAAGTATCATCAACTTTATTAGGCTTAGCAAATTTTTATGTTCCTCAGTTTTTGAGTAGAAACGACTGAACTCGTTCAAGATAACTACCAGAATTTAGATCATTTCAGTGTTTTCATGTCACATGTATGATAGAGACAACCTGATCTGGAGCTTTTGTATACTTGCTTAAGAGTTGCATGTTATATTGTCTGTACATATTAGTGTAATGACAAAAAATGTTGAAAAATCTTTAAGATGTATGAAATTTTCTTTTAGTTTTTACAAAAGTTGAAACTACTGTTCTTTACTGACTGATGTACTTAATAATACTTAATACATGTGCTTAATAATAAGTAGGAAAACAAAGGTTTATAAGCATAATGAAGTGATTTATTTATGATGGAACGTACTACATGTTTTGACGGAACATTTTTATTTTTTCCTCTGGTATATTCTGTCAAAATATAGTATTTTTCACCATAAATAAATCACTTCTTTGTGCTTATAAATCATTTCTTTCTTATCTATTATTATATTAGCATAATATTCTTTCTTTTAACCACTGTTTTGAAATCGGTAGGTAATTATAAACAGTTAAAAAATTGGGGCTAGTACTTACTGCCTGTGATATTTTGGTTTACACCTTCATCAAGAGTTACGGTTGTGTGTGAGGCCTGGCTATAGCTGCTTGGCTGATGTGATATTTTGGTTTATACCTTCATCAACTTACAGCTGTGGGTGAGGCCTGGCTGTAGTTATTTGACTGGGCCTAACCAGTTTCAGTAAACCTTTGCTAAAGCCACAGAACCAAAGTATTAAATGATACAACATTTTTAATTTGGAGTTAATAGTTCTTTACTCTTTCAAAATGATGTCATTGACATGAGTGTATAAAACTTTCCTTAGTCATTATTTTTACTTAACCCTTTTGCTGCGTAGTTTGGATATATCCGAATAAACATTTATACCCAGTGACTGCGAAATTCAGATTTACCCCATGACTACCAAAAAAGGTTTCCCTGTACTGCAATATGTGGAAATATTCCCCTGTACTTGAAACAATTGCCAAATCTGTGTGGGTGCTGCGATCTGTGTTCTACGCCATGAAACCCAGTAATGATTTATACAGTTGAGGAAAATTAGAAGAAAAGTGTTCTCCAGTAAATGGCGTAACTATAGACAAAACTAAGTCAATAATAGACCAAAATCATTACAAAATATAAATCAAGTTATTTAGATAATATCCAAGATATAAATAAATTGTCTTTATATAGATTCTATATGTGTTCCTGCAAAGTTGGCAATTTTGTAATCAGACATCTAAACATTTTGTAAAGGAATATTACTCTCAGATATAGAAAATACAGCTTCCTTCAATATTGAAAAAGTAATAAAAAGGGTCAAATTCATACTTTTATTTGTTGTTGGATAATTGACACTTTTTGCAAATCAGCCTGAAAATTAATTGCTCAGTGAAAGAGTTAAGCAAACATTAAACTGTGTTCTCGACCCTTTGATTCAAAGGTCAGAAATGTACATGTAACAAGGATGCCATAGCTGTTCTCAAGCCTTTACATTCTTTACGAGCCAGATTGTCACAAAGGATTTACATAATACTCTTTAAAAAGGATGATGACGAATTCTTACAAAAATTTTACTTTTTGAAGATAGTAAAAATGTAATTCTTTGATATTTTTAGGGAGGATGGTAAAGATGGTTTGAAGTTCTACACTGATCCTAATTACTTCTTTGACCTATGGAGACAAGAAATGTTAAAAGACACAGAAAGAATCATGCTGGATAAAGGCAAAAAGGTGCGCCTCTCAAATTATTATAAGATGTTCATTGGGTTTAGCTTTATGTAACATTGATACAGGTAACCTACTTGAGTATCGTAAAACCCTAGGTGCTATGGTCAAAGCATGTGTAACTTTTGTACAACATTTTGAGGGTCCCACAGTGTTATAATCAGCTTGCAACATACTGCTGGTGTGATATTGTAATCATTATAACAGATAAGTCAAAACAGGTGTCCTCCTTAAATTCTGATGGTGTGAACCATTTTCTAAATAGTATAGCTTTAATTATACGGTTTAATTGAAAGGTGTGTGATATCTCAAACTTGTAGTTGTACTATTGATTGGCAGATGATAATTTGTAATTTTTTACTGCAACATTTGGATAATTAATCAGTAACATACCTTTTGTATGCAAAAATGTCATTTTGTTAGTTTTAAAGTTTAAAATTGTGCAAAACTTGACATTTTGGACACCATTTTCTTGGTGTAAAGAGTTTGTGCTCCATATTGATATTTATGCAATTAGTGTTTAGTATTAGTCTAAATATAGTAAAACCTTATGTTTAATATTAGTCTAAATATAGTGGACCATTATCTATGTATATATAAAGCACAAAAATCTGTGTTTGTTTGTTTGTCTGTCTGATATCTAACTACTACTAGGTTGCTGGGCCAGTCTCAACCAAACTTTATGGGATGATAGTTTGAAACAAGGGACATATGAATAGGGGGGTTCACAACCCCCTCAATTCCCTATTATTGCTGTCATTGAGAATTTTTACCTTTGATGTAAGTTTACATTAACTATATTCATAGATGGTGTCACGTCCTTACACCGAAAAAAAAAACTTTATTGAATTTTCTATAAAACAACATACAGACAATGTGGGGGAGGGCACACAAACGTCTTGTATATCTCATAGAGTGCACTAGCACTTTCTTTGGAGGAGTGCAATAAAAAAATGGCTGCCACTATTGCAATAATACATAAACTCAAATGAAGTTTCTACTCCAACAGCCACCATAAGGCTGATATGAAGAGCTGTTTTTTGAGTTATAATAACTCTCTACTTTGACATGTGACCTTTCCAATCTGTCTATAGGACTTCTACAGCCAGTGAACATCATTAATTAATCAAGTGAAACTTTGTAGAAGGACACTAAGAGCTTGGTGTTGAAAGTGGGTTACAGAAAGCACCCCTACCACCACTACTTTTTCTGCTACAAAGTCAGCTTGACCATCACACAGTGTATACCATGTGTTAAGTGTATACATATTGAGTTATTAAAGCTTATACAAAAGGTAATAGTGGATAGTGTAATAATATTTTATGAATACATTGTGTGAAAGTTGGGATTTTTGTGTTATTCATCATAGCATCCACCCCCACATTTTTAAAGTTCATAATCTGGACCAAGGACGGGTACCTCAGCTTGTGTTTAATATTAGTCTAGATATAATGTACCATTATGTTTAACCCTCATTAGCATGCCTGGGTCCACATGGATCCCAACGACTTTCTTGGTTGTATATCTTTTTACATAATCATTGCAAATTTGCAAATTTATATCAATTCATGTAACTGTCAAGCAAAAATCCTGGATCAATATGACACTATTGTTTTAGAAACAGGCAGACGGAGTACGTAGCTATAATTTATCTGGGGTCCACGCGGACCATCACGATACATGCAGTTCGTCCTGTAGCATAAAAAATGGATTTCTAAATGTTTATTTCACAATATAGGTTGTTATAGAGGATAATCCATCAGAGTATTACAGTATCATCTTGTCTGTTTGTTTATAACATCATCGTGATAAGCATTCTTCAACAAGTGTTCTCTGTGATACCTCCATATAATGTCTTATTTTATAGAAACCATAGTTGATATTTGTTGTAAATAACCCGCTTATTGCATTTTCAATCCATTTATGTTGGGGGTCTTGTTGGACCCCAAGGTGACCAACAACGTACACTTTCAGTTTTCTTTGAGTTGAATTTTGCAGTATTGTTTTATTCAAGGACAAACTTTTAGCTCATAGCTACATCATCTTTTGACCGATTTGAGATCTAATTACAGTTTTGGACTCAGGAGGTCAAACCCTTTCGATTGATGTATTTGACCACGCCCACGTTCTCGTAGATTAATTTACTCTAATCCTTCCTAAAATAATTTTAATTTGAGGGTAGCTTCGTAGAAATCCCGATGAGTAATAAAATTCAGTTGGGTAAACGTGCTTCCCAAGGTTGGTATTGCTGGCACACAAAAATATAGCTATTAACTAGGGAACAAAAGGTCACAAATTAATTTACTGTAATCTTTCCTGAATCTTTGAGTGGTAATTTTTAAATTAGTAATTATGTGCCTTAAATTTGTTGAATTTCTGAACTGTGAAGGATTTTTAGTGATACAAAATGAATGTGGTATAAATGTGTTCAGTTTATCAAAGAAAAATGTGTCCCTGATGTAGAAAGCACTAAAATATGTTGTTTATTAAATTTCCTAGCAAGCTCATGGGAAGGATGGAATTGAGGCAAGTAATACAAGTGTTAATACTTCTGAATTGAAATGTCTGATTGTTTGTATTTACCTTAGTTTGTTTGTATTTTTTGAGGTATTGGCTCCAAACTAATTTTTTTAATATTTGTTTTTGGACTTGTTTGTAGTTTTTATCAAGTATTAGTTATAAAACAAAAATTGGAAAGGTTAGAAAAATTTAACTAGTTTTATTTTGTATAATAGCCACATCGACCACGTCCAGAAGGAAAAAGGCACAAAAAGGTTCGGCAGCCTCACAACACAAGAGAGAAGTTCCGCCAAATGGCGACAGCTCATGAATTCATTGACAAAACTGCTAACTATTCCCAGATTCATTATACCAGTTTAGTGACAAGACAATCAAGCGTGCCTCGTGATGGCACTGATCAAGGGTGTCCGTTGAGACCCAGTAGTTTGGAAATACATGCCTACGTATCTGAAAAAGAACAGGGTAGCCCTACTCATCGTTACCCTCCACCACCTCCGGCATATACAGAACATCCTCAGTCACCTCGACAGCAGTACATTTCTCCACCCCCTTACAGTGTAATGTCCCCTGACCACTTTGGAAACTTGGCTGGTGGTACGCCAACAAGACAAGCCAATCGTATTAGCACCATGAGGCCATCTCAACCACCTCCTGCTCCACCAGTGTGTGGCTCTTTAAGTTCCAGTGGTACTTCCACACCAACCATTTCTGAAGGAGGTACACCATCTAGTGGTGCTGGAAGGTATAGGGCTTCTAGCCATTCTAGGGAGAACCTTCCTCCTCCTCCTCCCCCACCAGAAGGTATACTAACTAATGGTGGGCCATCAAACTACATGGTTCAGAAGGTGTTACAGAATCAAGGACCTGGGGGATCTGCACCTCATACGCCCACACACAATAATCTTCAGTCTGGAGGGTCATGGCACAGTACTCCCACTCATCACCCACATTTGATGAATCACTTACCAAATTCTCAAGGACACAGTCGTGAGCACACACCCACTCCTGAAATCCAGCCGGGAACACTAGAGCATCTCGATCTTCCTCCTCCCCCACCAACCCCAACACCTCACATGGTTGAGGATCAGACAGCTCCTTCCCCTCTTCCTCCACCACCACCAGTCTTAAATGGGGGAGACAGTTTACCACCACCACCTCCCCCTCTCCCAACACTTGAAATGCTCTCTGATGGACCTGTAATGAATGGAGATGTTTTATCTCTAGCAAACAGGATTTCGGAAATGGTATCATTGTCATCCGAGTCAACTAGCACAGCTTCTAGCAACAGTAAGGTCAGTGAAACAAAGGAAGTTAAGTCCAAACTGGCTCCTACAGCACAGACAGATGCTAGAAGTGACCTTCTGGCTGCTATACGAGAAGGTAGGTGAAAAAATTATTAGTTACTATAGAATTTCTCATTTTTATTTAACTTTCTTCTTTTTTGAGGGCAACTTGAGAATGGGCATGTGGTCCCTTATAAAACTACATGATGTAGTAAAGAAATGGCATAACGTAATATTATTTTACGTAAATGTTATGCACTATTATTTACTATGTTGTAACATTTAATATTATTTTGATCACCTTAGAAAAATACAAAATGGTTGTAAAATATGCTGTCTACTTTGTTTACTTTAAATGTTTGTCAGTTTTCGGCTGTTTTTTTTTTCTTTGTCTACATAATTTTCGTAACTGAGCAGCTTTTTTTCTTAAATAGGCTAATAATAATAATAATTATATCACACTCTTAATACATTTCAATTTCTTACAAATTAGTATGTTAAAGTGTTTGAGGCAAATAGCTGTTGTTATTAATGTAATACTGTGTTTTGAATTTCCATAAATATAAACAACTCGCTGTACTGTGAAAGGAATGTACCTAAAATATGAAGACAAATTAATGCTGTAAGGGTTTTAGTATAGATTACGGCTGTAGATGGCTGAATTTGAAGTAGTAGACACACTCGGAAAATAAGAAATCCTTTCCAACGAAAAAAGTACACCTACTGATAATACACCTTTACATCATTAAAAATAGTATAGAAGTCTGCATTTTTTTTTATACGCACGCATACCCGCATTCCAGGTATATGAACCTATTACTCCTGTTAGTATTACTCCTTTAATTTGAAATACCATAGAGTGTATTGTACAGCATACTTATTACTCCCTTACACTGCAGTATCTCTAGACTATTATAGATTGTATAGTATGTTTATCATGTTACAAATCATTGTTCCCAGACCAGAGGTGGACGTTAAATTTTGTTTCCTAGTAACTTGTGTGAGACCAAATATTTGTGATCTAGTATCACTCATGATGGTGCCGAGCCACCAGTACTACAGTATCACACATAACTAGTTTGAATGCCACTGTGACTAAGAAACACATTTTTCAAATATATTATCAAAGATTATAATATATTAATTACATACATAATTTATTAAGAAAATAATGTATAGTTCATCAAAAATGACAGGGCAAGTACTACCCCCACCCCATAGTATGCCCTAACCTCATACTTCAGAGCTAACTGAAATAAATGAATTTTGTGAAATCAAGTTTGACCAAGAAAGTGGCAGAAAAGTGCAGGCGAGGCAGTCAAACGTTGGTAAATTCTTTTGTGAGCCAATCAAAATTAAGAATTTGTGGTGTATTCATAGAATAGTTATTGGTAAAAATCAGTTAAGGTTAACAACTTCTAATATCTAGAAAAACCAGTGTGTTTTGGTAACACTACATTCCAACAATGACTTTTATGTCATGTTGCTTAGCAACAAAAATATAACTTAATATTGTTGTTAGTCTATGTACTGAAAGTATAAAATTAAATGTGTAGACAACAAAACTGGAAAGACATTTGTTGATTTCTTAATCTAGAGTCTCAGTTGATTAAAGAGGTTTTTTTTTTATTAAAAACATTGGTGATATAATAGAAAACAGCTTAATTCAGAAATGATTTAAGTTTAAAATTCAATTGATATTTTTACTTTCATGATAAATTTTATGCACTTAGCTCTAGACTAGGAGATTCTACACTACGACTTTAGGCTTATTATACCAACACTCACAACACTTGTAAGATTTCACAGCACCCAAACCCCTGTCACTAAAATCGTAATGGGTAGACAGTAATCAAACAATTCTATCTGGATAAATGCGTTTTGGTTTTTATGACTCCTCTTATTTCGGAAATTCAAAAGAAATTGAGCGTGACGTGACATGACACACACACACTGGCTTTTATATGGGTTAGTAGAAGAAAAAGTTAATTGTACTGCAGTATGAAAGTCCCTGTAAAGCACTGCCATGGTTATACTGAACACTTAGATCCTAAACTGCATCATTTAGTTTCTATTTAACACAACCTTGTATGTTTAGTAGGCTTAACTGACCAGGTTAGGCTTAACTGACCAAACCTAGGTGATTATTCAGTGCCTTAGAAATCCTGAATTTCTGAGATAAAGGCCAAAGCTGAACCACTACACAGTTTTATATATATGTAAAATAGCATAATTTTGACCATTAGAATGAAACTGTGAACAGATTACATGAAAATTTCACCAACAAATATGAATTAATTGTCATCACGCATCATTAATGCTCTTTATGGAAGAGTTCTTGTAAAAATATTTAATGTTTTTCACTGTTATAGATTTAAAAAAATGCACAAATTATTTTCACAGATAAATATTGTTTCACACTATCCATTGTCACACATGCTATCTTACCAACTCTGTCTGAATCAATAGTTTTTTGAAATGCTACTGTTTAAAGTAGATTTCAAAACACCAAGAAAGTGATAGTTGACCAATTCTTCTTCAGGAGTAAAATGATTAAAGAGTGGGGTAATAAATATGGTAAAGAAGTACATGTCAATCGAGCAGGAAGTGTTTGTTGAGACGGCCGTGATAGCTGACAAATCCCAGTTGAAGATGCGTATGACATTAATTGTGATGTCAACCACTTTGGTGTGAACCCTTGATGTTTTTATGACGATAATTAATGAACATACTCTATATGCTCTGTGCATTCACTTTAAGTAGTAACATAATTGAAAGAAGAAAACATCAGTAGATGAATTTTTTTCATTCTTGCTGACTTTTAGTTACAAATGTTTTATTTTAGTGGACTTGGTGGTAAATAAGATGTGACTGTTTGTGTTACTACAGATTGTTTGACAAAATGTTTTCCCCTCTCCTTGAACTCAAAGAAACCTTTAGTGAACGATTGAGAAATACCATAATGCTGACTGGTCAACAGTCTTCACATAAGATGTGACTGTTTGTGTTACTACAGATTGTTTGACAAAATGTTTTGCCCTCCCCTTGAACTCAAAGAAACCTTTAGTGAACGATTGAGAAATACCATAATGCTGACTGGTCAACAGTCTTCACATAAGTAAAAAAGTGTCATTTAACTGTTAAGCGTATCACAAAGTACATACATTAACCCTTTTCCAGTGTGCTTGTGCAATTTGCAGAAATCAAATTGTGAATTTTGCTTGTATAACAATAAATGTGGTTACTCTGAGATTTCTTAATGTGTCCTCTCAAAAACTGGTAAGATTTCGTTAAAGATCATGAGTATCTTGTACACAAATAATGTTTTTATAATTGGTTTTTTACTAAAAAATATGGTATTTTTCTGTTGTACTTTCTTGCATTCAAACTATTAACAAATCGAGTGTGAAAAGGTGATTTTCATTTTAAGTATAAAAATACTTTTCTTCATCTTATAGTTTTATATTTTATTTGCATAATCTCTAGAACCTCCTAAAAGGATATCAAAAGTTGTTTTTTTTTAAGGTAAATGTTTATATTTTATTTTTCATATTTACATACTTTTTAATTTTTTGTTGAATATCTTTAAAGGTTTTCCTTTTGTTAAATTTGCAAGTTCAGGTCTTTTCATGTAAAGTTAATTTTTAAAGTTTTATTTTCCTTTCTTGTCCTTTACCACTTATTATTTATCTCAGCATAAGTCAACGGTGCCCTTGAGGCATATTACAGTATTCTTGGAAGATATGTGTAGCCCTTCGGCAAAATTTTTGTTTAGCACGTAATATCGTAAGCCTTGATAATGGGTGCAAAGTACGATTTATGTTTAAAAAAATGTTTCAACTTTTTAATTATGCATTTTAAAACATAACTAAAACATAATAGTAAGACCTAAATATAATTTAAACTGTATCTCTAACTATAACATATTTAGGTAAGAAACAACCGTAAGTGCTATAGTTCTTTTCTTGTTCTCCGTGATGACAACTTAGCACCAATTTCAAAATAACCGTTGTTAGATTATACTGTAAAATGAGCTCTTTCTAATGACTATACACATGTGTATATAATGTCTACATGAGGCTGTAAAGCTCATACAAATCTGGGTGTGGCAGCTGTCAGGGGTTGAAAAAAGTTATAACTTGTTTCAACTGTATTTATTCAGAGAACATTGAATTGAAAGAGTCAAAAGGTTATCTAAGCATCTCGTTGTCTAGATGTACCTATGTAGTAGTGCTGTTGTATTATTGAAGATACAGAGTGTCAAAGTAGAGAATTTTCATAGCACGTTGGTCACATGACAAGACATCTGAAGATTTTTTAAAGATTTATTTTGAAATAAGGACTTAAAACTTGGCTAAAATAAAACTTGGAATCATAACACACATTATAATATTAAATTCATTCACATACATTGATATAAAATTTTGAATGTGACACGGTGACCTGTAAATTTTGAAAATTTACTTGATAAAATTATTATAAACAGATATTGTTTTAGTTCAGTTTGAATAAAGATATGATTAAAATACTCTGTAAAAGTACAGGTAATAATTTATAATGAATATAGACAATTAATGTGCTCGTAACAGGCCTGTTATTATAGTAGCAGTAAAACGGAGATTTGGAAGATACGTATCTTATATAGCAATTAAATTCTGTATTGTGGAACAAAGTCAGTTACCAGATCATTCTTATGATGTGCTTGTCTTTCTGACTGCAGTTGCAAAATACAATGTTAGTGAAGTATTATCGAGTCAAAGCCCCTTGTTTAGGTTGAAAGTTATTTTTTAATTGTTATCCATATTATGCTTACAGTACCAGTTGTGATTTCAAGACTTGAATGTTTTTCTGAAGTGCTGTTATCCAGATCATGTGTTAGTTTACGGTACTAGTTGTGATTTCAAGACTTGAATGTTTTTCTGAAGTGCTGTTATCCAGATTATGTGTTAGTTTACAGTACTAGTTGTGATTTCAAGACTTGAATGTGTTTCAAGTGCTGTTATCCAGATCATTTGTTAGTTTATTGTACTAGTTGTGATTTCAAGACTTGAATGTGTTTCAAGTGCTGTTATCCAGATTATTTGTTAGTTTATTGTACTAGTTGTGATTTCAAAACTTGAATGTTTTTTCTGAAGTGTTGATCTTGTGTTGGATTTTACTTAACTTTTGCTAGAAACTTGTAGTGGTTCTCAACTGTTTGTAAGCATAATCATGGAGATCTTTCTGGGGTATACGAGAACATTTGAAAAGCATTAAAAACAAAATATACTCCATGGTCAGTTTCTGTGAGTTACCAATATATTCCACCAGCCAGCTTTAGTGCTGGGCAATTAATCAATTATAGTATTTTGGCACTTGTATATAAAGTTAAAATCATAAATAATATTCAACGTTAAACTGGTACACAGT